GTTAGTAATAATGAGGAGAGTCGTGGTCTTGCGCGGGCTCTTCTCTTGTTCAATTCATTATAAAAAGGGTGGAATTTTCCCCTCCCAAAAGACAGTTCAGAGAAATCTCAATACAGTTCAGAATAGTTCAGCATAGTCCAGATTAGCCCTTAACAATATAATTGTATTCCCCTATAAAATACTAATGAAAGTTAATAAAGCTCCTTTTAACTTGTAAAATAAACCCACGTTCCTTTAAATTCGAAATACTTATCTTGTAACGCTCCTCTACGATCGCCTTGACCTTGTGCCAAATCGTAAATCCGCCTCTATTATCTTTGAGGAACGTTACGCGACATAACCGATTTTCTAGCGACAATTCGTCGCATTTGCCCCATCTCTGAACTCGTCCATTAAACCCGTCACAGTATACAGCGTATACTGCCGGTAAACCCATTTTAGGTAGGTGATCGACATAGCCGTTAGTCCATTACTGCTTAAACGAGCTTCCGGCGTTACCATCCTACCGCTCACAATGCAAAGACTGCATGAATCTTTCTAGTGGCACAACGACTAAGTTTTAGTGTAATGACCACAGAGCTCCTATAATGTAAAATTAACAAAGGACCTAAACATACTATTTATTTTTCCGATTATCTTTCTATGCTATGTTCATTCTACTGGTTATTCCCTTTATGAACTAAGGAAAATACTGTATTTCGAATGCTATTGTATGTAGTAGCGAGCCTCAATCCCATATGTATATTCCTGTTTTTTACCCAATAAAGTATGATCGAGCAATAATAATACGTAAGATTGAATTTTGGCAATTTTTTAATGCAGAGTAACATAAACCGTTGGGCAAAAATTAGGAGTAACATAACAATAGATCTTCATGTGATAACGTCGACTGGGTCCCTGTACACAACCAAATTAAATCTCGAGAAACCAATAACGATAAAATATAAATATTTATGTATTAACACTATATATAGAAGTATGAGGTTTTTTAATGATCAAATAATTCCTTATACTCAATTATGTTGGCTTTTATGTTAGATATAGCATAATAAATAGTAAAATTTCTCAAAGAAAACTATTTGTTAGAGTATAAAATATGATTTCTTATACATTTTTGAAAAACATGCATTTTTTTTTTTTGAATTTTCCTAGTCGTGTTAAGTACGTACTGTCTATGTGTCTGAAATTTTAAAGATGGCGATTCTGTGAAAGATGTGTCTAGATTCCTTACATAAGTAAATTACAAATTTGTAAATTATAATAATTCTATATAAAGATAAATACAACGTAAGATAATTATTCCAAATGAAATATTTGACATCAACGTTGCCCCAACAAAATAAAAGTTGAGCAATAATTTAGCTTAATATCGATATCAATCTTTCGTAAGTTTTTTTTTTGCTAATTCAAGAACACCAATAATGCAAAGTGATCAAATTATTGTTCTATGTCTTGATTTCATACAAGAAGGTGAAGCCATTATACCCAATTCACATGCGTATATAACCATAAAAGAATGCACTTTAGGCTCACATTATTGATAATATTTTAAATACTACATGTTTGTATATGGTTGCTAATAAAAAACTTCAGTATCGTTTTCTTTATACAATATTTTTATAATAAATGAATATAAATAATATCTAAATATAAATAATCTCTTTCTTGAATATGGTACATTAATGTTCGCACTTTAAATTGTTTGAGAAAAAATTATTGTTAATCTCTTTTTTTATAGTGCATGCTCCATGTCTCTTGAAGACTATAAAAAAATCGTTTCATTTGCAATTTTTCCAGCTCTCAATGTTGCACGCGTTGGTAACTCTGATGAATATTATGTGTGTTCCGAAATTCCCGGAGTATATGTTGGAAGTATGTTATGAAAAATTAATAACTACAATTGATAATTACGTGATAAATTTCAATTTTATGTCATTATGATTTTCTATAAAAAATCTTTGGGGAATAATGAATCGATAACATTGTGTAGATATTGGTTAAAAAATTTATATGGTAATAAAAAGTTCGGAAGTCATAAAAATTTGAAAGTGCTCATCACGTGATTAACTATTTATTAGCCTTATCGTTATTGTTATTATGTCTGCAAATAATAACAATTTTTTATATTGAAATTATTGTAACATAGAGGGAAATGAAACTTTCTCTTTCAAGGAGGGTGGTAAAGTAAAGCCACAAGCCGCGAGATTCAGAGTTTATGGTTATGATAAGGATGGTACTCTCGTGCGAGAAATCAAACTCACAGATGCTGATGCTAATAAAGGTCTGGATATAAAAATTACTTGGACTGTCGAACTTGCTAATAAGAAAGCAGCACATACACAATTTTCGGGTATATTGGAATATAAAGAAAGCAATCCTAAGCGTAATGCAGGTGTGTATTTATAAATAATTTAGATCTTTCAACTTAAAATATTAATAAATTTTATAAAAAAAATCTGTAGATTGGCCTTATGGGAGGTCTACATTAGAGGCAATAAAAAAGGAAACTCTTTCCTCCAGTGAAGAGGAAAAAGTAAAAGAATTAGAGGCACACGTTTATCGTCATGGCAATGATGAAAACAGTGGACGGAAACTCTTTTTAGGCAAAATAATACTTGAAAATTCGGGGAGCTTGATAGTTATCGGTGGAAAAGGAGAGTCTGGAAGTGTTAAAGATGGTTAGTATTTGTTAATTCTGAAAGTATATTGTAAGCTGTTGCCTATACCAATTTGTAATACAAGTGTCTTAATCACTCATTACGCAAACAACGATTATTACAGATGTCTTAATCACTCATTATGCAAACAACGATTATTGGTACGATGACACTTCTGATGGCTCTATAGATGCTACCATTAATATTAAAATTAATGGAAACTCACCCCCGCAGCCGCTCGAGCAAAAAGGTATACACCTAAAGAAAAGAATATTCATAATGTAATAGTGATTATTGATTGATATGTAAAATATAAAATATACTTGATAAATCTAGAGGACAAGTCATGGGACTTGAAAAATCTAGAAGGCAAGTCATGGGTCCTTGTGGCGCCCCCAAAGTTCGCACCAGGTATTGCTAACCTGGTACCACTATACCAAGTTATATCAGAAACGCAACATCCTGTCGATCCGGAGAATCCAATCAATCCAAATGTTGTATTCGATCTAGATAATCCGGCTAAACCAAATGATCAGGTTTAAACATTATTTATGCTATTTAAAGAAAAAAAAAAAAAGTTTATATATAAATTATTTATTTTTACAGAAAAATTCGATAAATTATTATCGAGATATCCGACCAATATTTGAAGCTGTTTGTAGGGCTTCATGGGTCAATAAGATGGCCTTCAGGGGTCATGGTTTATATAAGCAAGGTGACTTTTTAAACCCTGACCTAGAAGGGCATTTGAAAAATCCTAATGATTGCGATAAGGACTTGAGGTTTGTCATTACGAAATCATAATTTATCTTTTATTTTATTATACTTAATTTCATTGTCATTTCATAGGAAAAACGTCCTCTCTCGCGTCCGAATACCCAAATATTTAGCATCCCCTGCAGAATTTAATGGCCAAGCTTATGGCTATTTTATGCCGCCTTTATCTGGAAATGATGGTGATACCACTCCTACTGCTCCAGATACGTACTTGACCGTCACTCGCGGTCAATATATGTAAGTGTTTATCAATTACGTTTATTTTAATACCATTTAACTAGAATTAACGTATTGCTTCTTATAAGCTTATTGCAACGATGGGCTGATGGTGATTTTGAGACAGGAAATCAACCAAAAGAATACTATTACAGATTTGATGCAAAGGATAAAGATGGTATTTATCCTCAGTATAGCGAAGATGGCGAAAAATATATGAAATTTGAAGAGGTTGTTCCTGATGTTCATAATCAGATCAAATGTCTCAACAAAGCTGCGCTCCAATGGTGTGTTGGAGGTGCATTTTATCCTGGAATTGAAATGACTTTTGTTTCTTATGATAAAAATACATTCAATGAAAAATATGATTTCAGGTATTTTTTTTATGCAAAATATAATCTAATTATCTTATTGACGTATTGATATATTTTAATCATTATCTTATTGACATATTGATATATTTTAATCATTATGCACAGAATTAATTCTAAAAAAATAAGCCCTGGCGATATTAATGCATTTATGGCTTTACCTTGGCAAGCTGATTTTTATGAATGTAATACACATTGGTGGCCAGCCCAAAGACCTGATATAGTAATTCCAGAAGTATGTAGGAAGAAATTATTGAGTTGATAAAAATAAATACAATTAATTATTTAAAATTTAGGATCAAAAAGATGATGTTGAAAAATATGGTGTTAATTTAAGTTATTTTGAGGATTGGACTCGTGGATTTAGAACCGATGAACCACAAAGAGGCATGCCCAAATGGGGTGACATGGATATGGTTGAGAAATGGCACAAGTAAGTTAGCATTGTATTGTAATATTACACTATATTTACAATATGATTCAAATTAGTGGTCGACTATAAATTTGCTGTCATCGGTCGAAGTGTTTCTGGTTAAACCGGTCTAGTCAAATGGTCGGTTATATAAACAAATCGACCTATTAGAACCATTCAGACCAAGTAGATTATATCTAATTGGTCGATTAGTCGATTTAGTTCATAACCAGATTATTTTGCCAACTTATCAAAGATACTTGACCGGACTGGTCATTGGTCAAACTGGTCTTGTCGGTCAAATTGATTTGGTCAAACCAAACACTGAATAAGATATAACTCAAAACTATTTATTAATTTTAACTATATAGATTAGGATTTATTGTCGAAAAACAACTAGATGGCGACATCAAGAAAGCATTCTTTGAAGTTGAACGAGAACAACTTTTCGCATTAGATATAAATTCTGTGAAAAGTAACCTAGATAATGTGAGCTATTTTTATGAATTAATAAAATACTTATTTAATGTCACAGAACCATGTAGATTAACAACATTATGCTTCAGCTATATGAAATGCTTAAAATTGCGATGATGATCGAACTCACTACGATTCCACCATATCTTTACGCTATATATTCGATAAAACCTGGAACGGAAATTGGTGATGAACTGAGACGTCAAATCCGGCATATTGCTGCTACATTTGTCACTTGTGGCGAATCTTATTGCTGCTATTGGTATAAAACGAAAAAAACTTAAATCAAAATATTACGCATAAAAATAATATTGATTTATTCGTAGGGCGACAACCCATATTTTATTCCCGGGAAATGACTCCTTTCTTTCCAAACCCTCTTCCGCATATAAAGCAAGGTAAACAATATTTATTGAATCTTTTACCAAAATTTCAACGAAATACAATTTTATCTTTTACCAAAATTTCAACGAAATACAATTTGCTATAGTTTAATTAATTTAATGGCTATTTTCATATGACCAAATTGATAAGTTATTTACGTTTTCCAAAACAGTAAACTTATCGATTCGGTCATCGGTAATTCTTAGCTATAAATATTAGTTAATATATATTTTATATTAAAGTATTATAATTGTAGAATAAGCTGTTTTTACTAAAACAATATTAGTGAAATGTAATAGAATAAACCGGAAACAAAATAATATGTTCGATCAAACTTATTTCCACGCTCTTTAATGCGATGTTTATGTATATTTATTAGTTAAGACTATGTAAGCAGTATTAACTTTATTACTTAATTTAGGCAGTATTACTGTTCACCTATCAAAAGCAAATAAGGCTACTCTCGAAAATTTTGCAAATATTGAAAAACCCGATGATAAAATAAATTCTGATGAAAATTCTAAAAAATCTGATGAGTTTGGTGCTGAAAGCATTGGCGATCTCTACGAGAAGATTGAAAACATGTTTACAGAACTTGATAAACAAATTAAATACGATAAACTATTTCAGGTGAGCAATTTATTTTATTTTTATTTTTATTTTTTTTTGCTTTGCAAAAATGGTCTTAACGTTAAGTAATTTTTATATGGACGCAGCTTGGACCCGGAATGGGTTACGCACCCAGTACCAGCGATAAAAACGAAGGATTGATTATAGTTGATTGTCTTAGCGCTGCTAAAAAAGCTATTGAAGTGATCATTGATCAGGTTTAGTTGTTTTCCTATGATAAAATATATATATATATATTTATTTATATATTTTAATAACAATTATTTTACATGCTATTTATGATTGCTGGTATTTGGATTTGTAAAGGGTGAAGGGGGCGGTTGTAATACCAAAGACCTAGAAGCTGAAATCAACGTAAAAGTTAGTGGAGAAATTAAAGTCGGAAACAAAGTAAAAATCCGTGGAACAATCAAAGCAACATTAAAAGGAACAAAGAAGGGGAAAATAACAGAAAATAAAAATGGGTCAATTAAAGGGACGATAGATGTGACATCATATGATGATGATGATAATAGCATAACTGGTAAAATATATGGAAAAATAAATGGAGAAATTAATGGAATCATAACCAGTGGAACAGTCACGGGAAAAATTGAAGAAATGGAGAAAGAAATTCACGGAATTAAAGAAATAAGTAAAGGAATTTGCGGAAAAATTACAGAAGGAATATACGATGAATCACACTATGCAAGATTTAATTATTGCGTTAGTGAAGTTGAGATTGCGTCTGAATCAGATTATCAGCTTTGGCCCGTGGTGGATGATCCAAACTTTGTGTATGAAAAAAATTTTCATTTTCTATTTTCTAATTTCCTTATTATAAATTATAATATACCTATTACCACAATAGATCGTATACTAACCCGCATTCGCAAGAAACTGAATCATATGCTGATCCAAATGTTGTCACTACTCTTATTGCTTTTAACGCTGCATATTCTTACCTTATGCTCTTACTACAAGTCGTTTGGAGAACCGATGGACAAAAGAAAAAAACGTTAATAATGGGAGGAATGCCAGCATTGATGCATGGTGTATTAAAACCCATTGCAACATTTCTTGCTAGTACGTATTTTCGAGAATTTTCATGCAATTTTTTTTTTTTTTACTTGCTCATTCTAAAGCAAATATTTTTTTCAAAATTTGTCTTCATTTAAAAGAAACATCCGTCACTAGTGACTTGAATGCGGGTTCCACCTTTGGTTTTTACCAATTTGAGAACACATCTAGTCCAAAAGATCAACTAAAAAAAGTTATTGAAGAAGCAGCTAAAGCCTTTTCATATAGTGATGAATTAAAGAACGCAGTGACAGCAGTTGATGCGTTACCTGATGTTTCCCAAGAGATTTTTGTAACACTGTGAACGAATATTTTTTTCCTCATATTTACAGTCGGCTCCAAAAGTATATCACGGTTACAAATTTATGATTTACATACAGATAACTCTCGATATAGGAAACCTTTTATATAAGAAACTCTTGGCATAAGAAAGATTTTACAAGTTCTATTTGAACAATTTTAAGTATTTGATATAAGAAAGTTTCGACATAAGAAGGATTTTGGCTGGACCTGGTGACTTTTTTATATCAAGAGTCAGTTGTAATATTTTATCGTTGATTTGTATATTATTTTTGTGCCGACTGTGCATGAATTTTTTTCAAAAATATCAAGTGTTTACTATGTGCGCATAAGGCAATAAAATTAGTTGATATGATTATTTTTTTCTTCCTTTGGGCAAAAATCCCATTGGCGTTCATTTTATTTATTAACAAGAGTGGATGGGGCGCCTTTGGCGCCCTTATTTTGTAAATGCTTTTTAATGTTTATGAATACTGTAAATCTTATATAGTTATGAATAATAGTTTTTGCGGTAGACTTTTTAAATCTGATTCTTTTAAAATCAATAAGTTGTTAAGTTGATAAGAATTGATTACTATACGTGGGTTCTCGATATAATGAATCGTTAATATAGTGGATATTTTTTAATATTGCGAATTATAATGGGACCTAACTATGATTTGCTATAATATTTGATATTACGGAGCTTTTGATGTAACAGAATAAAGGACTTGAATTATGGCTTCTGTTATTTTGAGATTGACGTGTATATGAATTAATAGTTAATAGTGTTTTAAATTCGATAATTAATACTTTCTTGTTATCTGGCATGATGTGACGGATAACTAGATTATCCGGCAGGTATGACGTATGCACTGACGGAACCATATTATTGTCCAAATAAACTCTTTTTGACTAATAGTATACTGATAACTCGAATGATGGATGTATAAATGACAAAGCGATTATTGTTTTGATACAACTCTTTCTTAATATCTACTTCAATGGCGAACAATAAATTACCAACCAATGAAGATGTTGCAGAACTTCTTAAAATTTCACGAGTTCACAATACAGATAAATGTACAGCAAAATGGTTATGGGCAATTGACAGATATAGAGAAGCATCCGATTATTAAAAATCTTTTGAAAGCATATCTGAAGTCATCGAACTTGAAAATTTTCTCTGCATATTTATCACATGGTTAAAACGAATAGATGGGAATGAATATAAGGCTGAAAGCATTCACAACTGTTATGCATCTCTTGCACGATATTTAAAAGAACATTCAACAATTAAACCATGCAACATATGGGATTCCTATAAATTTGAAAAGGCTTTACGAATCTTAGATGGTAAAATGAAGAAGCTTCAAAAGAAAGGATTAGGAGAAACTGATCAGTCTGCTGCACTTACAGTGGATGAAATTTTTCAAATTTTAGATCATGAATCAATGTCTGGAAATGATAATGAAAGTTTAGTTCGACATGTATTTTTTTGGTTTTCACTACTTTGTGGTTTGCGAGGTGGTGATACAGCCAAATTAAAAGTGAGTGATATAAGCCATCAACCTCATGGTGGGTTGTTTCTTGTACTTACACATGAAAAAAATAATCAACGTGGTGACTTGAAGTGTAACAAATATGGAAAGTCAGCTGCAAGAAAATTACCATCCCTTCTGATAATTCAAATAATCGTTTCAAACTTGTTTATGATATTTTAAAAATGATTTCTCTCCGTCCTCTTAATGCTGATGACGTGCTATTTTTAGAAACCTGTAGAGCTAAAAAAGGCATGTGTATACATATATATACATATATGTTTATGCATATTTAATATACAGTACTAGTACATATATTAATATACTAATATTACTGTTATTTTATTTTAATATACTGCTTAAGATTTACAAAATGGCATTTGGTTCAAAATTAGTTCTATGGGTGAAAAAAAATTAGGAACTATGATGTTGCAAATTGCAGATCTTACTAAAATCAATTTAGACAATGGACACAAAATTACTAATCATTTATTACGTCGAACAGTAATTCAAAGACTTAAGGATTTAAATATTCCAGAGGATGAGCGAATGGAATTCTTAGGACATAGAAGTCGTGAAGGAATAAAGGCTTACAATAACTCAAATGAAGATCAAAAGATTCAGAATACAGTTTATTAATTCCACTCGATTATGAAGATTTACCATATGAAGAATTTAACTATTTTCCTGGTAACAGCATAAATTATTTAAATTTCAAGGATAATCCTGAAATTTATAATGGTATACATTTATTATACTATTTAACTTTTAAATAGTACAATATTTTATTAAATTGATTATTTTTTATTTTAGATTCAATTTTTATGACAGCAGCAGAAAACTACGCATTTGATAATGGGCCAGAACTATATAATAAATATTCAGGTATAAATTACTCTAATAGCTAATCTACAACTAACAGCATATTTTAACATTTTGCTACTTTATAGATTCAAGTAATTCATCACCTATCCTACCACTAGCAAGATCGAATTATGACAAAAGATCAACCTTCAGATCCTGTATTCCAAGATTATCAAGCCATCGGTCTCCTTTAAAATCTGTCTCTAATCAAGCGGCACCATATTATATACCAACTTTTCATGATATCAAAAAACTTCATGAATCTTCATCTGATTCTAATAATAAGCAGGAAATACATTACCATTTTCATTATCATTTGTAATATAATTTGCAATTAGCGATTCCTTTATATATGTAATTTACCCTGGGTATAACGTTTATTATAAAATATATTTTATTTAAAATTGAGAATTTTAAAAAATTACAATTTGTATGTATTACATGATTTTAATAAACATCTGTGGCAATAATATGGAATTTTTTCTGTCAGTGTATACATAGTACCTGCTGGATAAATGGTATTGTAGATGCATAGAAGGTATTGTATAATTCAAGAAACTATTTTGGAATTTTACTTCTAGATATCTTAAGTGTTTTATATGCAATGCATTGCCATGGAACTAGTTGTGTGTTTGTGTAATTTGTAAGTTGTTCAATAGCATAGATGTTTGCTTTGTTAGTTAATGATTTGATATGTGTTGGTTTGTTGCAGAATTTAATTAGTGTATCGATTGGGGTGCCTTTGTATATAGTTGGTATAGGCCAAGGGTTGAGAAGGTTTTCTATATAGATGTTAAGCTGATGTGCTGTTTGAATAGTTTGGACTGTAAGTGTATTGTGAAATTTGGTAAGTAGTATATAGTTAGGAGTAAGTAAAATATTGTTTGATGAAAGTGTAGCATTTTGAAGATGTTGAATAATAATTTTGATTGATGGGGCTGTTAAAATGTTGTTTAGTTGTATGTGAAGTAATGAGATGTGGTTTTGTGTTTGAATATCAGTTAGATTGCGAAGGTTATAGATTTGGTGATGAAGTATAGTAGAGTTTAGTATTGTTGAAACAAGTCCAGATTTGTGCTTTACCACTTGCATATATGAATTAGTTATGCCTTGCATAGTGGATTGGTGCATGAATGTGTTCATGGTTTTGTATGAGAAGTGAGATACAAGTACCATGTTAACTATATAAATTGTTTGTTTTTTAGTAATCTTTTTGTTTTTTTTAGTATTAATCAGATTTGTAGCTTTAGTAGTGATTTGATTATGAATGTGTTTGTGATGATTCAAAAGTGTAAACCAGCAGCCTAGATATCAAAAGGTTTGTTTTAAAGGTATAGTATATATAGTTGTATTTGCAAAGTTGATTATAGGATTCAGATCTTTAGTTTAATTTGTTGCAAGGATTGATTTTGTAGGGTTAACTGTAATGTTA